GGAGGCAGTTCCACCCTGTCCTGTAGGGTCGCTGTAAGTACTCATACTCCCATGAGTAGGAATCAACCGAGTGGCTGTGGGGTTGGTTTGGGAGCGGCTTTCTGGAAGCGGATCGCCAGGCTTTTCTTCCGCTGAGCAGCCAGGTGGAGTTTTAATGCCAACCTTTTGGTTGGTAACTCATCAAAAACCACTTGTGCCACCAGCAACCTAAGGACATTTAGCTCAAAGGAACAGTCTTCCCCCACCCACAGCCCGCATCTAGCATCCTCCCCCTGCGGGCCCCTCCCCCCGCCGGCGCAGTCGTTCCCTTCCGCACCCCATGGTCGCTCCCATGACGCAGCCGCCCTGCTCCCGCAAGGCGTCCACGCAGCAGTCTTCGGGATCGTGGCTGAGGCCGAGACTGTGTCCTATCTCGTGGGCCATGGTGGCTGCGGCGCCCAGAGCGAGCTCCGAGTGGTCCTGGGGGACGTGGGAGGAGGCGGTGACCGCCGGCGCTGCCCCCGGCCTGCCCGCGCCCTCCCCTCGGCTGCCCGGCCTCACCGTGCTCACGCCCCCTGAGCTCTCCGAGAGGCACATGCCCTCCACCGGTGCCAGGCCCGCGGTGGCATCCTGGAAGGCGCGGCCCCTGAGGGTGGAGCAAGGTATGACTGGGGCAGGGGTGGGGGTCACGCCGCCCAGCCCAGACCCGGAGAACGCGAGCACCCACGTGAGCAACTGTGTGGAGTCGTGTGGTTGCAGCGCCCACTGCCCGCGACGCCAGTGCAGGAAAGCCCACAGCGTGGCATTTGCATCCGCTGTGACCGGACTCAGGTCCTGCTCCGTCCACACTTCCAGGCCGACAAGTGCCACCTGAATGTCCAGAGTCCTGAGGAACTGAGGACCAGGGGCAGAGCTGAAGCCAGGAACCAGGTGCCCCACCTGACCCTGTACTCCTCCGTGGGGTGGCGCTGCCTCTCTCCTCGGTTTCCTCTTCTCTGTGTGCCTGCGGCCCCACAAGGACCCACCTGTAGCTGCAACCAACCTGGTCCACGTAGTGGACGACCTCTAGGAGACGTTGCTTGGTGCGGTTCAAGTTCCGGTGCTGGGTCAAGAACTGGGAGGGCAGGAGCACAGCTGTGTGAGGGGCTGAGCTGGCCCCTTCCTGACCGCACCCCCCCTGGGCCATGCCCTCACCAGGGTGTGGTCAGCCACTAGGTACAGTTCCAGGTACCTCATGCTCCTGTCTGTGGCTCGCCTCTCCTGGCAACGGTGACCCTGTGGGGAAGACTGCGAGGCTTGACCCCTAGCAACCGCCACCCTCCCTTCCCCCTAATCCCAGAAAGAATGTTAACTGTAAGGATGTTTGAGACATGTTTCTTCAACCTCTAGAAAAATATCAAGACAGGAATTCCTACACTGGAGCCTGTACATTTCTGCTTGGCTGTAGATCCTGCATCCCCACTCCCGCCGTCTGTGTCCCTCACCCTGCTCTGGGGGCCACGAGGAAGACCAGTGCTGTCCCTTCTGTCGCTGGAAGTTTTGTGGCCACAGACCCCTTTCCAACGGAGCAGCTGCTCCATCCGAAAGATCTTGTGGGTCCAGGGGTCCTTGGAGCGTGCAGGTGGCCAGGCCCGAAGATAATAGCTGGCATTGCTGTTGAGCGTGATCAGGCCGCTGGGGTGCAGAGGGGTGTGAGGAGTTCTTTCTCCAGTTTTAGGCCCGCCCTCCCCCCCTCCCCCCCTGAGCTCCTCACCTCATCCCTGAGCAGGTGCTGAGGACCACCCAGGAGTCAGGGTAGCCCCTCACTCTTCCGTGGTAGTGGCAGTCATCCTGCAAAGGAAGAGAGCCAGCCCCCAATCTCAGCCACAGGGTTCAGGGTGAGGGGCTGACTCCAGCCTCTCCTTAGGAACAGTCCTGACGCAGAGGGTTCAGCGGCCCATCCTCCCACCCCACCCTCAGAGCCCTTGGGAACCCAGAAGTGTCTCACCATGTCTTTTCGGACCAGCACGACAGGCTGCCCATCAGGGTTGTAGTGGGTTTCTGTGTATCCAGGAGCCAGTAGTCTGCAGGAACGGGTGTCATAGGGATGACCAGTTCAGCTCCACCTCCTCCAAGAGGCCCTCCAGCCTTCCCCCTCTGAATGCTAACTGAGCAGGTCATGTGGCAACCCTTACTCACTCACTCACTCACTGCCCTCGAGTTGATTCTGACGCACAGCGACCCTATAGGACAGGGTAGAACTGCCCCGGTGGGTTTCTGAGACTGTATCTGTTTTAAGGGAGTAGAAAGCCTCATCTTTCTCCCGAGAGTGACCCTCACTTACTCACTGCCATCAAGTCATTGCTGATTCATAGCGACCCCGTGTGGGTCTCTGAGCTGTAACTGTTTAGAGGAGTAGAAAGCCCAGTCTTTCTTCCAAAGAGCGGCTGGTGGTTTAGAACTGCCAAGCATTTGAACCACAGCCTAATGCGTAACCACTATGCCACCAGGGCTCCCTGATGGTGAGTCCAAATAGAACTGTGCTCCACAGGTTTTCAGTGGCTGATTTGGATTACCAGGATGTCTTCCAAGGTATCTTGGGATGGACTCAAACTTCCAAACTTTCCATGGGCAGTCAAGCATGTCAGTAGTTGGCACTATTCTTGGTGGGTAACCCTAGGTTGTTGTTAGGTGCCTTGAAGGCAGTTCCAACTCATACTGGCCCTTTGGACAACAGAATGAAACGCACTGTCAGGCCCTGCACCGTCCTCCCCATCGTGGCCATGCTGAGCCCAGTGTTGCAACCACCGTGCCAATCCATCTGGTTGTGCATCTCTCTCTTTCCAAGGACCCTAGACTTTACCAAGCATGATGTGCTACTCCAGGAACTGGCTCCTCCTGATAACACCTCCGGAGTACATGAGGTGGCTGTCCTTCGTGTTTATTCTTGTGGGAGTCCGTGATGTATTCAGCATTCCTCATCCTTCACATGCTCACATCTTCTGCAGTTCTGTATCCGTTGGTAAGCTCCCGCGTGTACGTGAAGCCTTCGGACACACCGTGGTTTGGGTCCAGTGCACCTTCGTCCTCAAAGTGACTAACTCTGACAAGCTGCTCTCGAACATGTTGAAGAGGTCTTTTGCAGGAGAGTTGCCTCCATCCTGTTTCTGGACTGCTGCTTCCCATGGGTGTCGATTGTGGATCCAAGTAAAGCGAAATCCTTGACATCTTCAACCTTTTCTCCACTGGTCATGATGTGGCTTATCGGTCCAGTTGAAAGGGTTTTTGTTTTATGTTGAGGTGTAATCCAATGTGAAGGCTGTAGCCTTTGATCTCTGTCAGTAAGGGTTTCAAGTCCTCTTCACTTTCCGCTAGCGAGGTATGACATCTATGTATAACAAGGCTGTTAAAGAATCGCCCTCCAATTCTGATGCTGAATTCTTCTCCAAGTAGCCCACCACGAGTTTGTTAGACTGTGGTGGTGTATATGTTGCCCGATGCTGGAAGCTATGGCACCCGTATTTTAAAAGCCATGAACAGGTTTCAGTGGAGCCTCTAGACTAAGACAGATGAGGAGAAAGGCACCTGGCAGTCTCCTTCTGAAAACATTAGCCAGTGGGAGCCTTGTGAGCAGCCGCAGACAGTCCTTGACAGCTGTTGGTAATACAGTTTGGATGATTTCAAGAACCTTCACCCCTGTCTCTCATAGGCTCCAGCTTAAACACCCGTCTCCCAGGCTATGCACTGCCCTGAGTTAGGCTCTGCCTGCTCTCTCACTGGCACCAACCCTTGGGCTTCAATGGTCCCGGACACTCAGCACTGAAAGAGCATTTGGGACCTGGTCCTACAGGATCATCCCCAACCCCATCCCCACCCCAGCCCCTTGCTCCCTTCCCTGCCACTGGAAACCTTCCGGGCGAATTAGACAAATTGCTACCCCCACAACACAAGCTGTCCCGTGGCAACCCCTGGACTTTGGCCCCTGCATTGCCTCAGCCTGGAGAGCCCTCTGGGTTCAACCAAGTTGGCTTTTGGAATCTGGCATGGCTTCTTTTCTGACTCGCATGCCCTGTGGGCGACCACTAGGTGGTGCTCACTCATCTCCATGCGCGGAGCCTGGCGCTGGCACAGTGCTCCTGAGGTTCTGACCCAGCCTCCAGAGAGCCAGCCACAGGCCTAGTGACCCTGCCTGTCCCCTGCACTTCCTCCAGGACCTCTCCCCATCCACCTTCCCTCATGGGCTCATGTCAGTTCCTGTCCACCGTGCAGTCCCCTCCAGAGAGGGGGGTCCATCCTTGGTTTTCAGGCCGAGTCCCACCCAGCTCAGTACTCACTGGTTCTTCTCCAACTCAAGCAGGAGCTCCTGGCCTTCAGCCTCCAAGGCCACCAGCCCCTTTGAGACCTGGAAGAGGAGTGTGGGGCTGTCAGGGAGCAAGTGGGATGTGGAGTCGGCCAGGGAGTGAGCTTATGGGGCGAGGAGGCAGCAGGCTTATCGAGTGTCTTGAAGACAAAGATATTCCCAAAGGAGGATGTTTATGCCCTGCCAACAGCCACCCTGACAAGCTACTCCCTGGGAGGCGAGGTCACCTGAAAGGCCCGCCTCGCCCCAGTTCCTAGGCCTTGTCTCTGGCCCTCTCTCCTCTTTCTGGACAGGAGAAACTCTGTGGGCAGGGGAGCCCAGTGGGGTCCTAAGAGGTCGGGTGGCCATGGCTGGGTGGTGTCTGAGGCTTTGTTTCACTGTGATGTGGCTCCTCACGTCCAGGAGGAGCCAGATTTTACTCACCCTCCACCCCGTCACCCTGCTAAGAGGTTTGCCTTGGTTTCTGGCAGTCCGGCTCCACACCTGCTTCACTGAGCCTATGAAGTAAACATGGCCCCCACTGCAGGCCAAGTGAAAAACATGAGCTCCCTGTGCTTGCTGTCAGGAGGGTGGGCCTTGGCCAGCTCCCCGACTCCCCCCACCAGCCCACCCCTGCCCTGCTACCTCTTTGCCGCTGCCTCCCTGTGGGGACACCCCATCTGCCCTCCTGGTGCATTCAGCCTGACTGGGGGCCCAGACTTGGAGCTGGCCCGGTAGCACCCTGGTGGGGGTGAGGGGAGCGCTGCTGCATCTTCGGAATGTTCGCTCCACCCTTGCTGGCCCTTCCCTTTTATCCCAGCATGCACTGGGCTCGGACACTGGCCAAGGGACTCAGAGACTGGAGGGGGCTCTGCAGGTGGGGAGCAGACAGCCCTTGCCTCCCTGGCCACAGGCCTACAAGGCCCCAACCATGAGCTCATGTGGCTGGAATGCCACTTGCTTTACTGGAGAAACATTTGTGCTGGGGAAAAGCAGGGGCCCAGATGGAAGGACAAATGTGAGACCTCTGCGCCTCCTCCTGAGACCCCACGAGGCTCTTTGCTCTCTGTTCCAGCTGCCTTCATGTCCTGCCCTTCTGGTAACCTTGCCCTCTTGCTCTGGACACAGGCCCAACCTGAAATACATTTTCTGGGGAGGGTCTCTTGTCTTAGCTCTGCTTGCTTTTTCGTGACAGGCTTCTTGGGGCGGGGGTCAGTGAGCGGGAGCAGCACAGCTCTCTGGGAATCCATACACCAGGTCCAGACAGGGAGGGTGCTTCCCCTGGCCTCACTAATCTCCAGAGGAACAATCGCAAAGCCGGGGGACTGTGCCATGCTTGACTAATCGAAGGGACCCTGGGGGGACCTTGAGTGCCTGGGGATCCCCACTTAGGGTCTCTGGTTGAAAGCTGCTGAGCCTCTAGAGATACCCCAGCCTTCATGACAACTCTCTCCTGCTTTCTCCCTTGCTCAATAGTTCACAGGGCTCGGTAGTGAGCTGCCCTCACTCGCTGGCCGGAAATTCAGGAGAGGGGGCTTTCTGAGCTTTTGGGGTTGGCCCAGGGTTTGAAGAGGTCCACACTTCAGCAGATCCCAGGGTCCCAGACCAAAGAGCTAGATGACCTTATGCCATTCCCCCCACCTCTCTGGGCTTCCCTTTGCCCAGGAATATCATGGGCGGGGGAGCGAGTGCCTTTGATGGGGAGGAAGGGGCAATGATTCCTCAGAGTCATGGGTTCTGTGGAGCTTTGCAAGAAAGACCTGACATTTTCTTGCAAAAGCCCCTGAAAAGCTTCAGGCCCTACAACTCTGGGCCAGCCTCTGTGTGGTGGGGGCCGGGGCAGCCGGATCACTCCAAGCCAGGAGAGGGAGGAGGAGGGGGAGGGTAGGAAACCTAAAAATGACTTCCATGTGTGCAGGCTCACACCATGTAGCCGCTCCCTAGCAGCCTCCTTGCCCACCCTGCTGGGAAGCTAGCAGTGTCTTCCTGGATCTGGGGACTCCAGTAAACCTGGGAAAGACCGATGCGGTTGGGAGACACCCCCTCCCCCAGAGGAAAGGACTGTGCTACTGACCTCCAGGCTGGCCCCATGTCCATCCAGGACCCAGTGGGGAGTGACTGGCTCTCCTGGGTGATCTCCTGGCGTGAGGACAGAGCACAGGGTGAGGGCAGGCTTGACAAATGTGGGTCTGACTTTAAACCACAGGGAAGGACAGGTACCCAGAGGGCATCCCTGGAGCTGAGCACCACTAAGGAGGGAGGGGGCAGAGGAGAGACCATGGAGCCTGGGAAGGGACAGTTCAGCTGGGTGATGAAAGAAGAAAAGAGCCCCACTGAAAGGAAGGACTTGGGATCAGAGGTCACAGGGAGAGACTAAGCCCCCCAGTGCCCCCCAAAGGTGGGGGCAGGGCAGGTAGAGGCCGCCAGGGTATTTTTAGAGCTGCAGCAGATGCCTTCAGGATGAGAGATGCTGAGCCGGGATGCCAGCATCCCCACACCCCCCCTGTGAGAACAGTTAACAGCAGCCAGATGCTGCCCGAGGAGGGCACACACACCTTGTCCTTTTGTGCTGGGCCCTGGCCCAGAAACCCCCTCCCTTTGCTTTCAGGTGGAACGGATCTGGGGGACAGAGTGCTCTCTGGCTGAGTGGACCTGAGGTGGCCCCAGGAGGAATCCCAGAGCCAAGCGTAGTCAAGAGAAGACCCTGGAAGGCTCCCTAGCGCACCACCCACCAGTGGGCCTCAGTAACTCAGGAGACCCCCGCCCTATAGTAGCCAGGGCCCCAGCCAGTGCCAGGGCAGGCTCAGCTCCCAAAGCAAACACCACCACCGCCCCCCAGACATCGGTCCTGACCTCAACCCTGCCTAGACTGAGAGGGCTGCCTGCGAAGGAGGCTCTGCGCTAGCCTGGGAACCCCAACTCCTCTTCCCTCCTCCCCTCCTCCTCTCCCAGACCCTGCAAGAGCTGCAAGAGCTCCTTTTCCCCAGGAAGCCCTCTCTGATGGTAAGCCATCATCAAGCGGACAGGGCATTGGGATGAGGGGGTGAGAACTGCAGTCAGGAGGGGATGAAAGGCCCAGTGTGGGGAGAAGTCTGGGTATGGGTCTGGGGGAAAGGGGGAGGTTGGGGGGACCTCTCAGCCCCAAAAGGACTTAGCTAGGTGTAGAGAGCCAGGCTTGCTGCTCCCAGGCCACCAAGAGTGACTAGGGGAAGGGAGCGTTGGTGGGTGTGAGGACGCCTCACTGGCACCTTGGTGGAGCAAAGCAGAGCCCGGGCTGTGGTGACAAGGTGGGTGGAAGAGGAGACCAGGTGGTCCAGGCCATGCTTGAGCCCTTCTCTGTCCCCCACCCCCACCCCCAGGTCTCAGAGGAAAGGAGGCCTAGGGAACATCCCCAAAGACCTTGTTCCTCTCCCTAGTGGCTGCGGCAGAGCAAAAAGGGAAAGGAGTCCCAGGTGGAAGATGCCCTGGACTGGTGCTTGGTCAGGTTCAAGTTCATGCAGCAAGAGCCCTCTTCTCCCTGCCATCTGTGGCCCTTCAGAATCTCCCTCCCTGTCCCCTCCTCCAGGCACTGGGTTCTTGCACGCCTTCACAGACAACTGGAAGAGGTTACACTGGGCAGGGCAGGCGGAACAGGCCCTCAGCATGGAGAATTCCTTCTCTAACCCATTAAACAAGGCAACCATGTAAACACTGTCCCAAGGACATGGCTGAGGGCGTGAGTGAGGGGGTGAGGGCCGGATGCAGGGCACGGTGGTCAACCTTATAGTCTGAGGCCAGAACAAGGACGACTCTGGGGGGCTAATTGGAGTGGGGGACTTCCTGGAAGAGGTAGATCCACTTAGTCCTAAGGGGCATAGGTGCTAGGGCTGGGCCCAGGGGCTGGGGGTGGGGTGGGATGTGGGAATAGGGTATTCCCGAGGAAGTGGCAGCTGCCGAAATGGGAGGGGGCTCTGCCCCTCAGCTTGCCCAAGGAGGGGTGGCAGTTCCACGGAGGGTGGACAAGCTAGTTAGAGTCCCACCCAAGCATGGTTGAGAGTCCCTGGGTTGAGGGACCCACCCCCCACCCACCCCTGCTGACGGGCAGGGGTCTCAGACCCTCCCGTCCCCTAGTTGGAGGCTCTGGGAGGTCTACCTTCCCCTGCCTGTCCTCCGGGGCACCCACACACACACACACACACCATGTCCTCACCTTGAGAAGCCCCAGGCCCCGGCACCAGCCACAGCAGCAGCAGCAGCAGCGGCGGCGGCGGCAGCCCCCAGGCTCTCGGGGACCCCGGGAGCATGGT